ATAATAATAATAATAATTAAACCTCCCTATTCCCTATTTTCATGACTTTTCTGGAGATGAGAACCAATATTCTTAAACAAGACGGTGCAGGATCTGGAATATAATTAGTATGTGTTCATTAGTGTATAATCAGGCATGCTTGGAAGGTGAGCTTTTAAAGGACAAACTATGTAATTAAAATGAATGACTTACTGCACTAGACTATTACTTTACGCTTTGGAGACCTTTGTGTGCACAGATATGTTCCATTATTTGTGTTCCCTGATTCAAACCTGTAGAGGATGCCTTTGTTGTGCAGGAACATGAGAGCGGAGGTTATCTCTGCTGTGTAGAAACGTGCTCTTGGCTCTTCAAACTTCCTGGACTTCTGGATGTGGAACATAAGATCGCCACCATTCACAAACTCCATCACAAAGAAGAGACGGTCCTGCAGAAGGAAGCGAGGAGATGACATTCACACATGTGTGCACAAACCGCATTAGCCTCACAGACTCTCCCATGTTATTAAACAGGCCAAGAACCCATGACCATGGACCATGCTGAGATGGCTCCAAGGATACATGTCTGCTTCTCATAAATTTCACATGTCTGTCTAATGGATTCCTATAGAAATGACTGCAGTTGAAAGTCAGCGGGGCAAAAAAATACTGATCAAACCCATAAATCTTACTTTCTCATTACAGGATATGGTCGATATGTGATCTAGAAAATGACAGCTGGATAGAAAAAACACACTGCAGTAGAACGTGATGTTCACATCTGCCCATAAAGCTTCCTGAAGGAATCAGGACATTCAGCCTGAGCTGAGTCTGTTTAACTGCTCTGTGGTTTAGAGTGGTCTGGTATTCACCCAGAGATTAAAGGTATAAAGTTTAATAATAATGTGCTGCACAAGCAAAGCAGACACACTCTGTGTGTGGTCTAACTGTAACTCTGTGGGAATCTTTAAATTCACACTGGAAAAGTTTCTTGGTTGTACATTTCTGTTGGGTCTTATTGGGCTATACGTTTTAAAATGCTAGTCACACTCCGATATTATCTCAAAACCATTGTTCATGGTTTCAATTAAATTAAATTCTACAGAATTTCTTTCTACTGACATTGAAGTAACCACAGATGCCATTTCCTGGGGTGGTCATTTCAGATCCAATGAATGGCTGCCTCTGTTAAGTAATTCTAATTATTTTGCAAGGTTGCCTCCAAACCGCCGTAAAATTGAAGAGTAAGATGTTGGGAAACGCAAAACTAGATTTAATTTGCTGTTTAAAGATGAGCAGCTGATGATAAATTGCTGAATTGAAGCACAATTCTCCTGAGACGCACCATTTGCTAAAAGAAAAAAAATGGATGCTCACTTCTCCTCACCATAGGCGCAACATATCCCTGCCTTCTCATCCCCTCTGCCACTCTTTCCACACAAACTCACTTGCATTTTGAAAAATCACACTGTAAACAAGCTCAAAATTAGTACAAAATTACTAAAAGAGTAAGAAGGATTGTGTGTTTGTTTGCGGGTTCGAACAGGTCAGGGAGGCAGTGTCATTGAGTTAATTCTTCACTGCGTGCTCCTCTATCCTGATCCAAGGTGAAGTAGGTCAGTGGCGGTTCAAACAACAAAAGCAGATTAGAGGTTTCCTGTCTGCGCTTGAAAGAAGGGCTTTATCAGAACAGCCTCACTCACTCATTCCTCCTCTTCACGCTCCCTCAGGCTTAAGACTGAGAACCTGCTGCCACCTGCTGACCAATTTACACATTACAATGCTGTGGTCAAATGACACACTACGGTAAATTTAACTTTTTTGTTTGTTAGTATACAAACATCAATGCACTTAGCCATTTTTGCTGAAGAGGAAAGAGAAAACAATCAAACTGCACCTTTGGAATACCTCTACTGATTAAATGGTAAATGGACCTGTNNCTCTGAGCCACAGCCGCCCCCTGAATCACCCTGAACTGTGATAGCCCTTGACATGGAAAAATTTGGGAAGCCCTGACATGAACTACCAGTTGCTCCTGCCTAGTTCCAGACCTCTGAATCACCAGTCACATCATTGGAAATGGACTGTGATTGTAAAGTACCTTTCATGTCTTCCGACCACTCAAAGCTTTTACACTACATTTCACATTCATACATGGATGGCAAAAAAGGCCATCACAAACAGAAAGTTTGTGCATCCACATTCATCCACTGATGCACAGCATCGGGAGCAATTTGGGGTGCAGTATCTTGCTCAAGGATACTTCAACATGTGGCAGGAGGAGCCGGGGATCGAACCTTCCGGTTAGGGGACGACCCACTCTGCCTCTGCACCACAGCCACCCCCAATAAACTGCTCAAAGACAAAGCAAAATGTTCTCCAAAGATAAAATACGTATTTTTCTATTCGTTTGTTTCCTAGAGTTTTTTTTCACACCTTCATCTGCTATGACTTAATATTTTGCAGCCGTCAGTAGCTTCTTTTTTTATTTGTGCATTGTACTGTAGAACATCAGTGTACATCAACTGCAGTGTATTTATTTGTCATTTTTTTCCAGTATACTTCAACTTTTCCAATGGGATCACACTGCATACTCATAACCTGCCTATAATTAGTATGTAGTATGACATTTGGAAACAGATTAATAATATGCCACTCTTATGAATCCCATGGTATTTATTAAAATGTAAAATGTATTTTTTTTAATTGTATTTATATTAATTTATTGGTAAGCAAGGCTGTACTGAAAACTATTTTACATGAAGACTAACAAAGTACTGTAGTACAGAAATATTTAAGGGTGATTCAAGGTTTAAGTAACAGCACTTGTTTATGCCACAACTTTATCAGAAAACCTTTCTTCGGGAAGACAAGGGAGAAGGTATTTGGTTCCCATACAGTATAGGCCAACTGAACTCTGACACAAGTGCATGTGTGCACATCTGTACTGACCGGTGTCTGGAAGCAGCAGTACAACTGTGTGAGGTAGGGGTGACAGCGGGCCAGTGACAGCACCCTCTTTTCCGTCATGGTGCACTCCACATCATCATCCTGCAAAATGATGTCCTTCTTCAACACCTTGACCGCAAAAACCCGATCTTTGTTGTTTAGTTTCGCCAGCATCACCTGCACATACAACACACACAGAGTACGATAGATGAGAGATCACAGAATTGATTGGTTTATTTACTTAAGTAAATGTAGTCAGTGGTTATGGAAATGCTGACTAATGTGCTTTGTATTACAAAATTATTTGAAAATAGTTATTAAATATTCCATAATTAAACGCCTCTAGACCGTACCACAAAGACCTTCCTCTGTACTGTATATATTCCCACAATCGTCTTCCTGATTCTTCAACGTGGTTATCATTTCATTACACAGAGCATTTATCATTATCCTCTCTCATCATTCCCACCTTGCCAAAGCTTCCCTTGCCAAGGACTTGAAGGAACGTGAAGTCCGAGATGCCCAGGCGTGGGGTCTGCTGCTGACTTTCCGTACTTTCCCTCCTTTCAGAGGGCGCCCTCATCTGACCTACACTTTTGGCCTGTCAGTGAAAAAAAAAACAACAATCCTCAGGTCAGCCTAATTAAATTCTCATTTCAGTAAAATCATGAAACAGTCTTTTGACTCATTTTGGGAAATTTGTACCACTGAGTTGCGTTTAGCGATTCCTCCAGCCTGCAGACCCATCTCTGCGAGCTTATTGGCCAGTTCAACACTGTTGACCCCACAGTTGGGAGCGACATTGCCTCTGCAGCGGATGTGAACGTTCATTTTACAGACTGAAGAGAGAAACCACACAGACAGGAAAACTCAATAAAAGGAACATTTGAGATCCTGATTTATGAGAGACAAATGTTGACAAGGGTCTTACTTTTACAGTGCAGCCCCTGCCTGACTATTCCCCACAGCAGAGAGCCACAGTGGTCACAGAAGGTCGGCGACTTGTAGTTGTGGATGTTGAACTTGTGAGGGACGTTGATGCTAAAGCCTTGGTTTATGGGCTGCGGAGAGAAGACATACTGTAATCTAACCTCAATGCGTTGCAACACTGTGTTCAACCATACATATTCTAATGAATGAATAATGCCACATAGAGTGCACTGTGAAAAATGTTTACGTCCTAGTTTTGTCATAAGTGGACCTTGTTTCAGTTTATTGCTGCATTTGCTTCTCTCTGAAATCCCCAAGGAAGAGAAACTTGTAGTGCTCAGCAAAAACGTAGTAAAGCGGGGAAAGAACGACGAAGTGTAAATGCTAAAACAAGCACAAATGTATTTATAGAAAAATATGTAAATGCTAAAACAAGCACGTGTGTGGAAAAGTATGGCAGAATATAGTACAGTGTTCTGGCTCAGTGACCAGAACACAGAAACAGGAACCCGTACAGTCTGCTGATCACTGCAGGTGTTAATCAGAGGTGTGTGTGTGTAGTTATGTGAGAGTGTGTGGGAGGGGTCTGTCTAACATCTCTGCTATCTTCGGCACATCCTGTATTACAAAAGCTGCTTGAGTGCCTGAAACCTTCTGACACTTTGCGATTGATACTGATGCTGTTAGTAAACAGGCGGAGTGATTGTTGGGCTGATTAAAGTGTCTTACCTGTTCTTTTGTTGTCTTCTTCATGCGTGGACACACAGTGACAACCTGCTGGTGGCATCGCTTGTGAACCACACAGGTACACACTGAAAAAAAAAAAACAATCACTAGATGTTAAACTCGCGTCTTTCTGTTTAACTGTCTCAAAAGGCACAAAGAGAAAATAAAAGCGTGCTCACCTTGACACTGGTAGCCCTGCTTTCCAAAGACACCCCTATAAACAGACACAAGAGGCACAATGAGATCCAGTTTACAGTCCACACAGATACGTGCAAGAAGCAGTGATTCGCCCTTGCTCAACTTTCTTACCAGATGAACTCTTTGCAGTGAAAACAGAAGGTGGGTTGACGGAGGAAAGTAGACATGAATTTGTGCCCGTTGACCTGGTGGATCCTCCGTCTCACAGCCCCCTGCCGCTTCCTCGTAAACTGCTTGTAGGTCTTCTCTTTCAGTATGGCATCATCTGGCAGAAATAAACGAGAGAGTTTGTGTTTAAAGAAAAGGAGTGCAACAAAATCCATAAACTAATTCCTAGACCCAATACCAAAATAGCTTAGGTTTGAAAATATGTTAACATTTAGAACGGATCACTGTTATCACCTTGTGGGAATAAAAGCAGCTATAATCAATATTTCTATATTAACAATGACTATCACTTGGTGATAGTGATAGTACACTCTGTAGAGCTTTATTACATCTCTCAGCTCATCATTTTAGCAACCCACAACTTCACTGTTCTGCTTCACTCTCGTTGCTGGTAGCAGGTAGCCGCTTTCAGGACGAAGCAGCACTACCTGCTCAGCACTGAACAGCAGACAAATTTAGCAACTAGCTGATGAACACAGTGGAGCGTTTAGCAGCTACATACTTCCCGCAGGAGTTGGTGTAGAGCTAAAAATGAATGCTACCACTTGTTTCGTATTTGCTGGATGTGTAAATAAGCAAATGTTGGCTAACAAGGTCGCTGTGTCGACTTAAAAGGTGATAGTATGTCTGTGATGTGTTTACAGCCTGCTGTAAATTGCAGGTTTGAATAATGTGAATCCAGAAACAAAAACATTTTGTCTAAATTAACAACTGATAAATTGTTGATTAAATAAAAAAAGAAATGTCAGTAAATAGTAAAAATGTCCATCCAAATTTTCTAAATTGCTTTCTTTGTGCGACCAACAGATCAAAGAACAGACAAGCTTTTATGTAAAAGTGACTCGGGTGATTCAGACAAACACACAGTGCATTTCAAATTGATCGATAAATTCATTAATCCACAAATAGTTTCAGTCCTGTTTCCCAGAATGATTTTTTTAAATACTTGCCAATGCCCAGTTTAACATTCCCTGTTTGACTTGATGTTACTTACTACTAGACAATCGTTTAGCAAATTATTTGCCATAGCAAAAATAAGAAAGACAAAAAAAAAGGGGAAATTCATCAGTTCATTTTTCTCCTCTCCTTCTCGTCTCATCTGACCTTAACTGTGGCACGACAAAGATCCAAGACCTTCCCTCTTATGCCACAAGGAAGTTTTAGTTTTCTAAATGAATGACACTCGGGCCCACTTAATGTGGACGAATGAAACAGAAGACTGTTATTTAAAAGGGTTTAAAAAAGGATATACAGTAATTTACACATTATACTGTGTAAATTCATGTGCATATATTTTTACATCTGTGCACATTTGCGTGGTTAAGTATGTGTAGTGGAGCTACTTGTGGGGTGAAAACCACATATGTGTTACGGAAAAGTATATGCTGAGCCCCCGCCATCCCCTGCAAACAACAGATATATTTGTGGTATAAGTGTGAAAAGGGGGCTTTACAGTCAGACAGAACATATGCACAGCTTCTTTTCTCTGTGAAAGTTTAATGGACCATTTGTTGCATTGCACCGAATATTTGCCCCGATCAGAAAGATTTTTGTTTTTGTATTTATCGAGTTTAAAGAGCATATTGACTAAGGCAGGGCAACAATTTTATATTATATATTAATAATATTGCAATGCCAGTTTTTCCAAATTAGTACATTAAAACTAAGGGTATTGTCTGATGTAACACAAAGCAGTCCAGCTGTCCTCTGCATCAAATATTAATTTCATTAGTTTGTTATTTTGCACGCATGCCATATGATGATATTGTGTTAGTAATATCAAGCACACCATCCAGCCCTATTGTTAAGTGAAAAATGGCAGGAATGGTGTATTCACTGGCTATCACGTATGAGCTTGAAATTTGTTTTATATTTGGCAACTGACTCTTGTTGCAAGGTGTTGCTTTCAGTCCATCAAAAGGAAGGGACTTCCAGACACCAGCAGACGGTTAAGGTGAACATTTCAGAATGTTTTTGCCTTTCAGGTCACCAGTATTTCAGCAATAGTAACCTTTCGAATCAAGTGACTGAAATATCCATTTAAAAAGCAGAGGTTATCTCCAAAGTTTGGTGAGTAAATGATAATGTTTGTTAGGGGTTTCGTGACAGTATGGTGCTTTGCTGCAAAGCAAACATTCCAGTGGACTAGCAGAGGGCAAGAGGGGCGAAAAGAAAATAGGTCATATCTGAGCAGTATGCCAGGGGATTTTGGCAAAAAAGTTCAGAAAACGCTGGTAAACTTAAACATGAGAGGAAAACACTGAGAGAACCTGTAAATTAATCACATCAATCAAATAATATACACATATATTAAACTCCAATTACTAAAACAGCCAAAACACAGAGCTGAATTTAAGATGTCCCACTAGTTTCCAACAAAGGGAAAAGAAAATGAAAAAACTGCAATTCTCATTTAGTTTCATAAATAAATGAACCGTTAGTACGTTAGTATTTCATGAAGTTTAGCAGGCAGTGAGTTATGATGGTAGCAGATAAAAAAGGGGAACAGAAGGCAACTAATCACCAGCTAACCAGACTTCTGCTTCAAAAGCTCCTTCACTTCCGGCCTGTCTTTATTAAATGGCTCTCATTGGTTAAAAGATCATGTACATGTCTAAGCTACACTTGTCATTCATATTAACGTCCTCTGACATATGAACAAAGCAAACAAGCATACCTGGCACATACCAACCTATTCAAGTCACACCAACACACGCATGCACACCTATTTTCGGAACCTCTAATATTACACAGGTGTAAATGTCTCACAGATAATAGTTATTTAAAACAGTGTTCAGACTACGAAGACCAGACAGAGACCATTTCAGTTCACATATGGTTGGACCTGTTTTTCAAGACTACACTTAAAAGAAAAAAGGAGGAGAGATTTCAGAGCGATATTTAAGCTTGGGGGGAAAACACTGGGCAGCCTTACCGTCTGTGAAGGATCCAGTGAGTGAAATATGGACATAAACCTTGCCTTCTGGCTCCAAGTCCATCTGCAGACACACAAACACAAAAAGACAATTATATTTGTGCATACTCAAATATCTAGACAGAAACAGTACAGTACAGTACAGTAGACGGGTATCCAGATGCTACACAATTGTACAGGACCAATTTATTATTTTACAAAATCATCTATGTGTGTAACCCAAACTATATTAAACAAAAAGTAAATCAGAAATATGGCTTTTGAAACTATAATTGAAAGTTGTTTGTGCTTTTAGTTACAATAAGTGGGTTAAAAAAAGACGCACAAGATGTTAACTGACATTTGAGCATCAGCCTCAGCTCTGGTATATGTATATTTCTTTCGCATTCTTCAATGTGTATGTAATGTCGGAGGAATTCTGACAGCGTTAACAGAAAGACAAAAAATCAGGTCAGGCAGGTTGGGCTGGTTACAGAGGTTGTGGAGACCTGATGCTCAGCTGTGAGCTGTGAGTGATGATGACTTACAAATGTCCAAACGCGAACACATACAAACAACAGCAGATGGAACAAGGTACTTCCTGCAGCAACCACTGAATGGAAACATGGGTCACTGTACACTTAAATAATGATCTATTTATGTTACACATGCACCCTGCCTGGAAAATACTGTGACACATTCGGTGTCAACTGTGGCCACTCATTCGCTGCCTTTAGTGTAAAAGTTTCAGAAAGAGTTCATTTCACTTCATCTCAAAACATCTCCAGTTTTGTTTTTGGTTACCTGCTCATATCCTCTCAGTCTACAGTCTAGACAGAAAGTCTGACTTTTCCACTGCGAAGACTTCCTCTATGAGTATTATCTTTGGCATTTTCACCCTTGTTTACTCTGGTCAAGCTCTGGTTAAGAACTAAAAAGCTGCAATGCATTTCTGAAATTTCTTCTCCTATAATATAAGAAGCTCAGCTGTACAAAAGGAGTCTGATTCAAAGTCTGTCTATCTATATATACATCAAAAGTAGTATTGGTTGTTGTCAGATTCCCTCTTTGTGCTACTATCACTCTGCTGCAGCTCAGCAAAGAAAGGGAAGGAAAAAGAGGGAATTGTGTGTTAAAAAGACTGCAGTTTTGGAAGATAATCACAACACTATTTTCCGTGACTGCTATTAGATATCGACTACTGGATATTTGGCTTGACTCTATGTGTAATGTAATGTATTTTAGCAGAAAAGACGGCCACAGGTCAGAGTCGAACCCATGGTCGCTGTGGCAAGGACTCAGCCTTGGTGCGTGGGGGGGCCAGCTCTACCAGGTGAGCTAGCGGGGCGCCTCTGAGCTTCGTTTTAAGACAGACTTGAAAAAATTTGAATTTGTCCATTACGGGGAACAGATCTGAACTAAAATAGAAGTGCATGATGGCAGCATGATGGTGTAGTTTAAAAGCAGAACACTTATTGCTGTATAACAGAGGAAGTAGTTGTTTTTTTGTATTTTTTAACATAGGGGATGGGGCCCGTTTCACTTGAGCAGACTGTACACAGTGCTGGAAAATGTTGAGGGGCCATATTTAGCCCACTTTCAGTTTCAGTGCACCTCACGAGGAAGGACTTCAAGCATGAGAAACAACCCCACCACGACACATATATCGCTACTGATCATAGGAAAATGATTGTGAAATGTAATAGTTCAAAGAACTGAGTAACAAGTCAAAGATGTCACTATGTTGTGCCATATTATGTCAACAGGTGGGAGGCAAAGGAAACTGGCCTCATGTGTCTAAATGTCATGATGATTTTTTTAGATGGATGATGTCAGTCCTGACAATGACTTCACACTAAGTTAGAAGGAGTTGAGCAACTAAGAGACTCTGCTGAAGTTGACCTTATAGTATAGCACCAACCTTTCCACTCTCTGTGGGGTTTAAGTGCATCAAACTGGACTGTGTGCACAAAATGGGGTGAATGCACCGCAAAAAGGGGGAGGAGAGAAAGTACAGCATCTGTATAGTAGCCAACAGAGAGTGACTATTTTAACAGTAGGCCCTTGAGCACTGATCAGATGGTGGGAATGCTGTGATAAACAGTGGTGTGGGCGTGTGGAGGCTTGTGTCTCAGCCTGTCCTGCCTCATGTGTGAAACAAACCAGCCCAGCACTTCTGTGCAACAAAGCACAAAAAGTCTTCACAGTTCAGATCTAGCGGATAACGACTTCAGCTTGTGTATCAAAGTGAGAAAGCTCAGAGAACTTATTACTTCTTCTAAAACTGCAAACCGAGTGTCACTTTCATACCACTTCCCCCTCAATGCTCGGGGTCTCGCTGAAGATGAGGGCACTCATCCTGCTCAAACATGCATCAATACATACATTTTTGGTATTATACACATTTTAAATGCATGCATATAAATGATCTTCGGTTCAGTCAGTGATGGTTTGAGCATGAGTTATGTCTGCCTTTATCAAAGCGCAACACTTCTCAAACACCATGCATACATACATGTAAATGTGTGGTCTTGTGGCATTAGTCTCCAATGCACAGTGTTACGTAATCTAAATGCTTACATGTTGTTGCTTCACATTACTTTTTGGTGAAATGCTCAGGCCACTGAAGTTATTTACTACTAAAACACAAATTCTGAGTTTGCTTTCACAGGTTGTGAAAGTGTTTTTGCTGCATACTATAAACCCCCACTGGGTGATTTAACTCACTTTTTTTTTTTTTTTTTACACATTTTTAGAAAAGGTGCTTAATGGACAAAAGCTGTGTTGTCTATAGAAGAGAGACAATCGAGCATGTGAGGAGAGTGTTCTGGTACGTAGTCGATACCACCTCAGCCTGCTCCAGGCCCTGCGAGGGTTCAGGTTACACACACAGACACCTGCAGTGGCTTATAGTCCTAGAGGGATGAAAATTAGTCAGAGGAGGGAAACTCCGGTTTGAAGGCGACGCTTTCTTGTTTGTGTCTGAAAAGAGAATGAGACTAATCTGATACTACACTTAAGACATTTAATCTGAGCTTTGATGAGGTCCGTTTGTTTGCTTAATTATCAAGTGTGCATGAGACATATTGAAAACTAGGTTCCTTTACATCTAAATCAACCAAGTATGGTGAACTTTTCCCTTATGGCAACTTCTGGATGGGCACATGTGTGTGTGTGTGTGTGGGGGGGGGTTATCACCACACATTTGTTTGTACAGGCAGGTCGAATGCTGTGCAGGCTCAGGCAATGTGAGTTTGTTAGTGCACCCTGCAAGCATAAAATTAACACCTCGCCACAGCAGAGGTATTTGTGGTTTCATTTGCCAGTGATCACAGTCAGCTTCTAATCTGATCAGCACAAGATGTGAGAAGGTCTATGTCCAGCACATGGCCACACTGAGACATGGGCCTATATGTGTGAATATGTGAGGGTGCTGTTCTTCTAGTAAGTCTGTGCTTTAAGGTGCTGGATCTCTTATCAGAGAGCGGGAGGGGAAGGTTTAGTGCAGATGTTGTTGTTGTTGTTTTCAGGCAGAAAAACCGGCGAGTTACTGACAGTGACAGTGACAGATGTAGACAACATTGCTCCACGCTTTATGCTTTGTTTCTCTCAGATACTAATCAGCATGTCACAGCTCTCATGGAAAAAACTGCAATGTCCCTGTATGGGGGGAAGAGCACCTGTTATGTTACACAGGTAGTTTAAGGAACAATTTCTGGCTTTTGATGATGAGCTTTCTAATTCAAATGAGGCTATATTTTATTTTTAGGTTATTTGTTTTTCAGTGTTCTTCTAAAAGTAGAAATACTCATTTTTTAAGATTTGTTTAATCTCATTTGAGGATATAAGATTTGACACAAAAGGTCCCCGTACCAGGAAACAACCAAAAAGAATAATACAAATTATAATTGAAAAAGTCTATAAATTCCTGGTTGGCTTTCCAACAAGAAACACTTGAAACACAACTGTCGGTCACTTCAACTAAAGGCTCTAGTTTAAGGCCTCCTCTGACTCTTAGGCCCTATTTGATCATTCATCCATTAATCTATTGGTTTCTACAGACAGGACTAGAATACCTTTACTCAGGGTCCGCCAACACACAGCCTCAAGTTCACCGTCAATTATATACCAATAAAGTCAACAAAGACAGGACACTTTATTTCACCTCTTCTTTTTTTACATGTTGACATTGTGCTCACAGAGGACGCATTCATCAACAAAGTTGTTTATAATCAAATTAGCAGGTTTATTGAGTTTATTGAGACACAGAAAACCGGGGGCGGGGTTTGTTCTAGCATATAAACACAGGCTGGTATCTAGGTCTCTGGTAGGGCTGGGTGGCTTCATAACCAATGCACTGATACTATTAATATTAGTAGTAGTATCAAGGGGTTACCAGTATACGAGCCCACACGTTAGCTGAGTTCTGAACACATGCACACCTGTTGTTAGTGTAAGCACTACTTACTGTTGTGTGTTTTAATTTACAATTGGCATTTGTTATTCTACATTTACTTATTTATAATACTTTCTCTAATAGTTGAACCTTTATTCAGAGCTGGCCTGGTTGCATCAGAGTCCTTGTACACCTGTTTGCAGGTCCAGTTTCTTTTGTTTTAATGAGTGTGATGCATTCAGATCATAACTACACTGATAATACATTTAAAGAAAAACAAATACAGCTGTACTTACTCAGCACTGGAAACTATATTGTGTGGTATCTCTGGGTGTGGGTGTGCTGGGGTTATGGGTCAACTGGGACCCAACATAGGTTAATGGTCATGTTCACTGTTATGAGGAGTGTTGTTTACATAATTCCCCCCCTCACTTTGTACTCACCCAGCCCTCGAAAGTCTCTCCTGTGTTGGAGGTTTTGATGAGCTCCTCAAACTGCATAATGCAGTTGGCCACAAAGTCATCATATCCGATTGGAGTGTCGTGGAAAACTGCCATCTCGATCTGTTTCCCGTCGCTCACGTTGAGGCAGAACTCCTCGTTGTACGTCGGCGTGTTGGTTTTCTGTTTGGTGTGAGTTTGCCCAATTTTGTAGTCGTCCACTTTCACTACGATGTAAGGGTCCAGAGCCGGGGGGGCTTTGTTGAAGATGACGGAGTGGCGGAGGGAGAAGGTCGTGGGTTTCAGGTCCACAGCCTCACCGATCCGCAGCTTCAGATATCCGTTAAACTTCATTTTGTTTTAATCGAGCGAGTTCAACCTCTCAAAGTAAAAAAAAAAAAAAAAAAAGCAGTCAAAGCGAAAAATAAAACGAGATATATTTAAAAAAAATATCAACAAGGACTAAACACAGCGCTGTGATAATAAACTCATACTAATAATCTCTGGTTGTGTGTCAGCTGTTGCGCTCCGCTTCTTTCATCCCGTCCTCCCGCCTCACACACACTGTCAGCCCCGTGAAGCTGTCTCTGTGTCACCCTGCTGCAGAGAGCGTCAGTAAGAAGGAAGCCACAACACAGACATGCTGAGGAGGAGGCACAAGTTCCGCATAACTTAGACTACACACGCACGCACAAATATGTAGCACATAACCTCTCAACCTGTCACTGTTGGCTTCGTGTGTCACGTGGTTGAATTTGTAGTTTTTTTGTTTAGAAAGAGGAGTCTGGTACTATACTGACCATGATGCATCACTCTCTGTTCGCTGAAGGTGTTGTGGTGGCTCACCTGTTGTAAGGCTGTGGGGAAACAGCGCCCTCTGGTGGCAGTCATACTGAACGACAGGGCAATGACTGTAAGGACTTTTCTTTCTAAACCTGACTTATTAGAGAACACAACAATGTTTGTCTATAATTAAATATATGAATACATGCATGAATAAAATAAATTAACTGAAATGCATGAATTAATTTCACAAAAATGGCTGATGGTGGGTAATGAGGGCTGTAATTTAAATTAACTTCTAGAATATAATAAATGGATTTAGTGTTTCTCCCCCCAACTTGATCAGGAAGTGAGAAACCATACAGTATTAACTGTTTATGGATTACCACCATACATAACTGCATTATTACCAAAGTCAAAGACCAAAGGCAACACAAAAGCTGTTTTTATTAATGACTTGTTGGTGAACTACAAAGCATTGATACATAATTGATTAACAACCCTTAATAAATACCATATACCAGATTTTCTGTTGTATCTCAGAACAGTTTGTTTACTATCATGTACAGTCATATTTCTGTCAGCTCCTGGATGGTGCAACTGAAATAAAAATATGTGTCGATGCAGTCTGTTGAACAGCATCTGTTATAATAACAGTGTTCAGCAACAGTTGACAAAACAGCATCTCCTCAAGGTCCATTTAGTGGCTGACAGATGGGACTTCTCATCCATGTAGGAAATTAAAGGGTAAATGAAACTTAAAGGGGTACGCCAGTGATGTAATAATGTAGGCTACTTCCATTATGTTGGGGGACTAAAAAAAAGACAAAAACTCAGTCACTGTTTAGGATCCAATTCTCAACAGGATTTTCATCAGTGCAGGCTAGTGTTGCGAAACCAGTCTGTGGCTAATCACAAATTTAGAATGGTTTTGATTTGCACTGACATGATGAGTCAAATTAATAAATTAGTCAATCATAAGAAAATTAACAGTTTAAGTCATTTATCAAGCAGAAATACTGAACATTAGTTATTTTCAGTTTCTTACATGTGAGGATTTTCTGCATCTGTAGGTTCTGTCATTGTAAGTTGAATATCTGTCAGACAAAACAAGCAGCAGCAAGCAACAGACCAAAGGATTTATTGATGAATTGGGAAAAAAAAGCAAACGCAGCAAAGCAAAATTCCAGTTGCTGACGGAAAATAAATCCTGAGGTGAAAGTAAAAGACAGATATTTCAAATTGATTAATTCCCTTCTGTCTTCCCAGTACTATCCCTTTCTCTTTTCTACTTTAAATGCCTTTCTCTCTCTCTCTCTCTCTCTGAGGGTGCTGTGCCTGCTCCATCCATAAATGCCATGATCAAAGTCTCCACTTTATTGGTGTTAGACTTGACCTCTCAACCCACTCTGCCAAATGTCAGCGCTCCACATCTCTCTGCTCCAGCTGTTATAAATAAAGAACCTGGGTCCCAGCTCTTACACATCCCTGGGATAGAGACTGTCTTGTAAACAACGTCTCAGACATGACCTTACTGAGCAAGCAGAGAAGGTCGTAATGATGAAGCAGGCAGATAGCAGATTGCCTCGGTGCAGGAGCGTGAATGCACTCACAGCCATCAGCAGCAGCTAGCTTTGTATTCTCTGTCGGACCTGATGAGTTAAAGTGAAACCTTGTGCACCTGAAATGTATGCTGCAGATCAGGCTGTTTGTTCACTCAACACTTTAGAGTCGAGGTATTTTAATGGTATTTTTACAATATGGTCATAAGTCACGAGTAGTGAGTGTACCACTGAAGCTCCATTTGAGTATTAAGATATTTAAATATTAAGATATTTTTAGTTTCAAATTATCCAGCAGAGGGCAGAATAAGACTACTAGATTATGTTTTTCTCCTCACCTTCCACCCTCCTCTTCCTCCCTGCTTGCCTCTCTCTTATGATAAAGCAACTTTAAAAATCCCTTTTTTTAACCACGGAGCCAGACCTGGCATTTTTATGGTCCAGGATGATTTGTTTTGCTTCTTTGTTCTACCTGCAATCCCCCTCTCTTTTTCTCCTCAGCTCTGTCAGCTCAGTGGCTCTTTGCCCCGCTTCCTTTCCTACTCATTCCAGCCTAACTTTCTCTCTGCAAGTGGTCATAGTGTCATGGCCAAATTTTGAATTATGCACCCATGAGAGAAGTCTGCAACTTCACATGACTCTAGACAGCTAACTGAGCACACAGACTTCATGTATACATGTACACACACTGACACGTGCACACCTTAGACACGCATGCAGGCACGAATGCATATAATACTTCTGATGTATCTCCTCAATATGCCAAAGATTTTATTGCACACAAGCAGAAGGCCAGCTATCAAAAGCCTCCCATATATCAGAGCAGACTGATTCTGTGTATACGACTTAATTTCAGCCACCTGTAGAGTTTCCACGTTCACTTCATAGTCTATGCTCCAATTTATGTCCGTGTAACCCAGGACAGCTCAATCCTCTGGCTCCCTGCCCAGGTACACCCTATAGCTGCAGCTAATGAACCATAGCATTGGTGCCAAACGGGGCAGTAGGGAAAGGAAAGTATGGCCCAGATATGGCGAACCCCATACCCAACTGTTTTGACCTCGGTGAGAGAAATCCTGCGGGGCCCGTATACACCCCCACCAGGCCTCCACAGAACTAACCCCCATTCTAAAGTCACAAGACCCCAACCTCTCCTCAGGTATAGAAACCTACAGGCTCAACCAAGCCACACATGCAAACACACACACATCACTGGGGCTCTCCGGTGTGGAAGCAGAGGCACTCCATAAATCACACCTGTAAAAGCTGATTTGGCACTAAATGTGCTTTATTCACAAGTGGTGTTTACTGCCAGTGCTCTACCACAGGAAAACATGACTTACGATGGCACTATTCTGAAGAATTTTACCACAATGTTGTGAGAAGGTGTTTTGGTGTGTCATATTGAGCTCATGCTTTTTATTATTAAAGACATTTATTAGAAAATGAGGGGAGATTGGACCCATGATTCTCTTCTTTTAACAGCTGATTAGTTGAAAATCAAAGAAGATAAAGTGTTTTTTGAAAAGCATGGGAAAAAAGAAGAGGAGAGAGGGATAAACATGAAGAGCGGTGCTGTGAAAAGTGTAGGAATGTAACTGTGAGAGTGGTCAGAGTTGTGTTGGACAGTGAAGCAGCGTGTAGAGGGAGGTGGTGGTGGTGGTGGTGGTGGTGGGGGCTCTGTCACAGCCCCTCCAGTGTAATTGGCTCCAGATGTGAGGCAGCATGGCCCCTGCGCCAGCAAGGCGTCAGGGCCGCATTAAGAGCTCAGCCCAGGGCTGATGGGATCGCAGAGAGACAAGCTCACCCCTACTCACCACCCCAAAAATACAGACTGAGCTCCATACTGCGCTGCTGACCACTGGGCCTCCATGAATACCCTTCCTACCCCCCAACCCCTGCTTATCATGTGCCAAAATAACATAGCACTGCAATACATTTTAAAACATCTTTATTTACCAAAGAGTTGTTTCACTTTGACAATATAAAATCTGTCTTGGTGACAATGGTGACTGCGATCTTGGAGTCAAGTCGGTTTTATCATTGTGTTGCTGCTACTGTGTTTGCCCTGATTGTGGAATGACAGGTGATGAGTCTGTCAGGCATTTTTTGCCTTGGACACTGTTTCAAGAGTCTCTATTCTGGTGAAGAAGGTGTAAGACGCATTGGTTAGTACAAAGCAGAAGCAGATGACACTGTCAGGACACATGATGTCACACATAAAGACCGCTAAAGATAAGCACAGCCTGTTGAGCTTTTGTTACAGGAAATAATGATCTATGCTTCCTGTTACAAACAATTGCCTCACACTTTGTTGGCTGATAGTGTCCTAGTCTATACTTTACCCTGTTGGCCTTTTATCAATATGATTTTACAAAAAGCATGAATACATTTGAGTGTAAAAAGAGTCAACTCTATCATGGCCAGAACATCTGCTGTCTGAAAAGAGTCCTCAGAGTGAGGAATGCTCTTACTGTGACACAAAGAGCATGTTTTCTGATAGAGCGTGGAAATTGATTAAAAGCAGAAAAGCAGCAGGGAGTGATGGTAGACGGAGGGAACGGAGAGACTGGAGGGACAGAAAACAAAATTAGATGGAGAGCACTTCATCAGTGATGACACTTGCGTATCGATGGCATTTGCTGAGTTGCAGTCCGCCACCATGACTAAGAAGGAAAACCACTCATCATGCCAACCAGCATTAAAAGGCTTATGTGAAAAGACCCTTGAAGACACCTTTCAGCCAGGAATGCCGGTTGAACGAGATCATGCGGGTAAACAGAAAGCAGATGTGGATGTTCTCAGATTTGCTGCAGTTTCTGACATCCACTACCTGTAATGGCACGTTCATCTGATGTTGTTGTAACACAAACAGGAAGAGGAAGTGGAATTCTGCATTGGCTCCGCTTTCTGCCAGTAGTAATTTGTAGAGGATTGCAATTACCTCACCACAAAGTCATACTGAACAATTTAGATGCACATGATCTAATCCAGTTGTTCCAGTTGTTTTTTTTGTCCAGATGTAACCCCACAGCACAGTCAGATACACACCAAATTCAAAATATTTTCCTATTAATGGAGTTTTTTCATATAGTTGAACTGTAAATGTTAATTTAGGCTGGTCAGGTTTACATTCATGTTACCTCTTGGAGGACAGAAGCCATTTGTCCATTAGCCAACAATTATACTGGTTGTTTATTACTTGTAGCTAGTTCACAATTTCAAATGTTTATCCTTTACTTTATTTTTCCTCCATACCTGTAGTACTAATGTATGTCACTTATATTATTTTGTTGTGCTGATATTTTTAGTTTGATTAAAGGACCTGTGTGTAGGATTTAGTGGCCATCCGAGTTGGCGAGATCGAAACTAACGACACTGCTCGTTACTGTTTTGGTGGGTTTTTTGGGGTTTTTTTTGGCGGGGGGGGTCTTTTAAAATTCATCCAAATTGCTAGTTCAAATTGCTCCTTTAATTGATAGTGACAGCTGAAGAGTGACAGGAAAGGGGGGAGAGAGAGAGGGGATGACACACAAAGGGCCACAGGGCGGAGTCGAACCCATGGTCACTGCGGTAAGGACTTCGCCCCTGCTTGTGTCTGCATTTGACAACCTTGGAAGAACAGGCTGTGAAATGTGTATGAGCAACTACAGTGGCCATGAAAGAAATGTGAAAGGACCTATCTACAGCCAGTATTTGTTTGTCCGGTCTGGGCTACTGTAGAAACATGGTGGTTCAACATGGTGGTCTCCATAAAAGGCAACCTGTTGCGTCTGTAGATAAAAACAGCTCATTCTAAGGTAACGGAAATACAACGATTCCTATATTAATTTGATTAAACACTAATTAATATTATGTTCCATTTCTGCCCATAGTAGTAGTAGTTACACACTGGATCTTTAAATTGAGTATAATTGAATGAATTGTTGTAATCCCGTGCAACTGCAGTCAGAAGTACACCTAGGATTCATATAACCCTAGTTGGAAATCACTGACCTAATCCATGAAGGTTAGGTGCAATAAGATGTCTCACTGTGTCAAAGGTCAAAGTTGTGACATTGGGATCAGACCCAGCTGTTAAAAAAATCCTGATCTCTAACAACAGAAAATAATTTTCAAAGAACACAGCCGACACCTCTTAAAACAATACGAGAGGAGAGGCTGCCAACAGGGGATTAATTTCAGCCCACCATCCTTTCTCCGCCTCATTCCATCCTTTAACCCTGGGAGATGGTGTTGTCATACTGCTGGACATGGGCCCAGGGAGTGAGTGAGTTTAACTAAACAAAAACACTCCCACCCCTGGCTGAGGACACTGCCCCAGTCAGACCTCCATAAAAACAGTTCTGGTCTGTGTTAACGTGCATGTTTCCAACACATGATAAAACTTGGAGAAAATTGGAGCATCTGGTTATCTCTTCCTAGTTAGGCTTTCATAAACCAAGAGAGGAATGTCAAAGAAACGAGGAGGAACTAGACTGCTGTGAACACAGTCTGACACTAGGTGGTAATCTTGTGTTGCAAGTGGGTTTCGCTCTGTGGTCCCCATAGGAACCAATGTATAGGAGTCAGAAGCTGTTTTAATTCCTTAAAGAGCTTGTGTTTCAACAGGAATGGTGACAGACGGTTGATGGTGGTCGATGGAAGTGCTAAACTACTATATATTACGTCACACTCCCCTCCCCCAAGTACATTTATTCAAAAGGTACTTGGACTTTCTTGACCTTGGATGTTTCCATTTTATGCTACAGTATACTCTATTCCACTACATTTCAGAGGTAAATATTCAGCTTTTTACTGGACTACATTTATATGACAGCATATGTTTCAGATTTTACATTTAAAAACATTCTGTGTGATAACCTTATAAAATACAATGCACTGCTAAAGATCACATTGCAGATTCCTACCTAAGAGTCATTTCCACTCTAACTACTAAGATAGTTAATAAATAAATAAATAAAATAAATAAAATAAATAAATAAAAAAAATTCATATAAATTTGTGTAGCTCTCCATTAATCATCTCATGACCCTTCAGATTTAGCTTTTGGCTCGTTGAAGGGGGTTGGGAACCAGCGAACCAGTGAACTACAGGAACATGCTACTTACAGTGTTAACAATCTAACAATATCATGTATAATAAATACAGCCGTCACAGGGGACATTCTTCTGCAGAAAAGTTCTGCAGAAGAATGTTCTGATATTTTGTACATTTTGCTTATAATATTTCTGTACTTTAACTTAAGTAAGAGTGAATTCAGGGCTTATAATGGAGTATTTTCTGCATTGTTGGATTGGTACTTTTACTTAAGTAAAGGCACTGAATCCTTCCACCTCTACTGACTACCAGATATATTCAGTGTTGAGAGTAGTTGTGGTACACTTTCTTATGGGAGTGTCCTTCGGAGTGGAGGATGGAGGTCAGGGATATTTCCTGCACTGGGGAACCTCCCTTGAGGGGGTGTGAATAGCGGGCAGCCACTGCTTTCTGCAGGGACGGTGGGGCTGCTCTGCCTAATTCCTTCGATTAAAAGCAGCAGTTGGGTGGCTGTAGGGTTCCAGAGGCAGCATGAAGACAATCTAAACAGCATCATGATTAGAAACGTACCGAGCATGTGGCTTTTATTAGCTACAGGCTGAACCCACGGTACAACACAGAGGAGCAGGTCTCAGCGTCAATACTGTGCCTGCCAATCAAACACACATCTACAAATGTGACATGTTAGACTGATGAGCTTTCCATAACACCGATAAAGACATTTTAGTGGATAAATGAGCAAACTGATATTTCAGTACATAAACAATTTCCCTTTTATTAAATGCCAGTAATTAGAAGAATACAATTATATTATTTTACATTATAACCACATGAAGTACATTGTAATTAACTGGTCCAAACAAAAACCCATTAGTTTAAAAATCTCTGTCCCAACTTTTCAGTTTTTGTCACATTCATTAAAGCTTTAAAGAACACGAGTAGCAGCAGAAACACCCGAGGTTTGGACTGTAAGTGGTGTGGCAAATCAATACGTGGCTTAAACAATGAAAACAAGCTTGAAAGAAAAAGACAAAACCAATTAAAGCCTGCAGCGTTGCCCCGGGACTCGCACGTCGCACGCAACCTCGGGCGTGCTGCGGCGCGTCACGTGCCGTCGTAACACGTGCGGACCACAACATGAAAATTCACGTTATCAGATCAAAGTCGCTAATGCAAGGCGCTTACTTCCCTGTTGCCAAGTAGGTGGCCGCTATCACTAATATCTGAATATTGTCATGTAGAGACGTGTTCAGGGCGGGACTGTTTATCCAAAATGTCTGAAGTTTTCATTTGAGATTGGACCATGTACACTGACAGGTTGTGAGGACGTGTTCATGGTACTGAGATATGAGTACTATCTGTTTTATGGCCAATCCGGCCAGAATTCGACAACGTTGTGCCATGGTGACGCGGTTAAAAACGTAGCAGTCACAAATAGGCACAACTTTTGATCCACCAATGTGTCTAGATTGCAGTGATGGAATTTGAAGCTCAATCTGATAAAATCCTTGTAGGAGGAGTTAGTTAGAAACACAAGCCCTTAAAGCCCGGAAAATGGCATGCAAGCAAGTTGTCAGATTCGATTCAACCTGGCCAAAACTTTGACGACACGCCACCGGACCACGGCCCTTGCAATGTACGTGCACAAATAGCACAAGCTATTTAACATTCAGCCAAGGATACTTTGATTGTACTGACCATTTTGAAGCCAGATCTGATGAATTCCCGCTAGGAGGAGTTTGTTCAAAATACAACACAGAAAAAATCACAGAAAATGACCAAAAAATTCAAAATGGCTGACTTTGATGCCATAAAAATTTACAGGAAGTGCTAATTTTATAACATGCTTATTTTTTGAAATATCAAAATTCTTCAAATACTTTTTTTGCCAGGACGGTCCCCAGATGCTACGTGAAAAATTTTGTGGGAATCGGACAAAGCATGTAGGAGAAACACGAAAAAGTAGTTTATGGACATTTTCGCTCTAGCCGAAAAACTATTTAGGCGGAAGTGGGCCGCTGGCCTATATTAGGGAGATTCAGCTCCATTCACCCGAACCCCGCGTGGATATAGAAGGTTTTTTGGAAATGTGTGACAAACTAATGCAGAAGTTATCCAGCCTAAACGCACTTTTTATGATAGTAGCGCCACCTAGTGGCCAACCTGAAAGCGACACATAGAATATAAAATTTTTCGCCAGGCCTGACCACTTTGCCAAATAAAATTGAGTTTTCGTATATGTTCAGGGGGGCAAAAACGCAGTCGAAGTCGCTAAAAATAATAATAAGAAACAGCAGTTTCAATAGGGACCTCCAGCGGTCGCTGGCTCTGTCCCTAATAAAGTGAATAAAATACATGGCTATAAATCAGGGAATGAAAATTAGTAATTGTGTAAGTAAAACTGTGAAAATGTGTCATAAAGAAAATAGAAAAAAGAAGTAAACCTGACACAATTTTCAAATACCAGCAGATATACATAAGGTGCACGATCATCTATACAGAAGAATTCAAAGTTTTATAAAAGTTAAACAATAAAAAAAAAGATGTAAAATGAACTTACGGTAATTGACAACTTGCTTGACCCTTTATTTTATTGTTATGTTTTGCAGTAAGCCTCGTCTATTTTTGTTCAAGGCAGAATAAAAAAAAACAGATTTTCCTGAAAAAGTCTAAAAGTCTGCATGTAGGAAAGATGTGTAAAAGGGAGTAGAAAGTCCCCGTTTTCTTTCGGTTGGTATGTGCTGGGTTTGGTTTTGTGAGTTAGAAAGTACAGAAAAAGAAACACTAGTCTAGTGTTGAGAAGAACTTTACCATAAATAATCTGCCTGAGGTGATGCTGATTAGCATCTGTCTGTTCCCTTCCTTTATCCAGTATTCAGTTTCTTTGGCACGCTTTTCCCTTTCTTTGCTCTTGTGCTTAATGTGGGGCCCAGAGAGGGTTAAGACTCCTGCACCCATGTGATGACAATGACAGAGAAGCTGATGAGTCCCATAATCAAACCAAAGACCACGAGAAGTAAAGCCTAGGGACGCAAGGAGCACAAACATCACAGTTACCATTATTACCTTAAAAAAACAGTTGGTAGTAGTTGGTAAGTAAAATGAGCTCAAAATGTTTCTGTTTGAGCTTAACAGTATTTCATATATTTGTGTAGTTACCCCAATGGAGTCAAATGATCTGAGGGATCGGTTGCTGATCTTGAGGTAGAAAATGCCAGGGAAAACAAACAACAGGCAGCTGGATGTTGTCGATCCTGGGAAAGAAACAGGAAATTCACTGGAAGTGCACAGACAACATACTATATGTCTGATAAAAGCAGCTTCATAAACTGTTTGAGCAGGGCTGCACCATTAATTATGTATAAGCAGATACTGTGATTTTAGCCACCGCGATCAATAATTGTGGAATATTGACATCTTGGCTGCTTTTAATGTCTGCTGTAGCTGAAAACAGATCATAATATTTAAAGTCACAGTTAAGTGACCGTACAGCGTCTGTACAATTAGAAAAAAAACTTATAATTTACAAAGACCATAATATCTAGCAAAACAAAGCAAAGCAAAAACACATACCCACTACGCCAAACACATTTCTGATATCAGGCACAAAGATGGCCATCAGCAGCACCACACCCAGGATGCTTAGAGTTGCAATGATGTGAATCAGCCAGGAGAAGGGACGTCCTCCAAACAGCAGCAAGATCACAGCCTTACGGGCCTGCAGCATACACACAAACAAAGCTCATTTGAACCAAACATACTCACACAAGATGTACTGTGTTAGTGATTCTGACCAAATGTCTGGAAAGAGAAAGAAGGGAACTGGAGTGGTGTTGTTTGGACTGGAAAGAAGAACTTGTCAGTAGTATTTTAAGGATTTCTTTTTCCAGTTGCAAAACAGAAACTTAGCAAATGTAGACGTACATTTAATTCGAAATTCAGCATTATAAATACATATAAATCCACACACAAATAGCACTTAAGGAGAAAATCACCTATATTAAAATCATTAATAAAAATGTTTTTTAAAAAGTGATAAAAAACTAAAAAAAGGGACATGACTCTTGGGTAATTTTTGCTTGTGTTGAAAGAATATTCTGCCGTCAGTGTACTCACAGGGAAGTGAATAAGGGGCACAGTCAGCAACACAGAGAGTAGGATGGCCAATCGAACAGTCATCACCATGATGTCTCGAGGCATATAGATGTCGTAACCAAGCAGCAGCTCAGAGTTCACATGAGCTATGAGGAGACAAAAATAAAATGAGAGTACAATGCCTACAGATATGACATTTACAAAAAAGTGTGTCACTGTAGGCTTACCATAGAAGGTGAGATAGCCAAACAATGCAGAAATTAGATAAAGCAGAAAGCTGAGGCTAATACTGATATTTGTAACATTCTGCATCCTGCTCTTGGTCGGTCTGAAAGACACAAGGACACATTCACTGAGTTTACGCAACTGATGAACAATAGATTCACTGAGTATAATTACACATTAAGAGCGAATATAAAAGTGAGACACGACAGTGCTGACCGGTCCAGTTCGCAGTAGATCGGCAGGATAGCTGTGTGGCACAGGAAGGAAAAGGCCATGGTGGGGATGGCATAGGCACTCTGAAACACACATCAGTCAGAGCACAGCCGTCATTAACAAATTATCAGCTTACACTGTTACACAGGAGTGAAGGGGCAGGTGGGTCAAGGTATGGTTTGTGTAGCAGTAATTAGCATCTGGGCTGCAGAGTGTGAGGATGTTCAGGTGTGAACAGAATAGGTTTAGTCAGTGGAGGAAAATATATATTATAGGTATTCTGTGAGTGTTGGATCTTCTCACAAAAAATGTACTTAGTGTAATTCTAACATATGGCCGAATGTGAGTAAGTAAACATAAGTGTGAGTGACAGCTGAATAGCGTCCTCGAGTTATTTGCATATAGTGTGTGTGACTTGTCACCAAAGTCAAACAACTGCAGCGGACCCACTTTCAACAACTCCTCACTTGCCACCTAACAGGTTGTGCATGTGCAGCGTAGAGAAAAAGGCTGGATTAATACACGTACCTTACTGGAGATGACAAAGAGCTTGGGTGTACATTCTGAGTCAGAGGAATTTGATATCTGGAGAAACAAGGAGAGAAGAGGGAGGCGTGTTATTTCTGAGAGGAGATGACTTCTGCAGTGCAGCTGCAAATGGGAGAAACATAAAGCTGGATTTCATTGCCTGGCTTTGGAGCTAAAAGGAAAACAACCATCTAAGTAAACCATGCCAGGTCTGAAGCTATACTATGGTCTGTGTAATTCCAAAAGGCCAGGGGTCATTTCCAGACTGATGCAAGGTCATCTGAACTTCCTTCCCCTCAGGACAGGCACCGTTCACCATACACAGCTCTCTGCAGCATTCTCTGGTCCTCATCAGCAAGAGTCGACACAATCAGTACATTCAGTCTCTAGGGTTTTCCCCATAATCCTGTGGCCGTGACCGTCTGGCGCAGACTACCTACATCAGACTCACGGTATCTTATGTACTCGTGTTTGTGTGCACGCAGACAAGAATAGAAGGATACTGAGGTTGTTGTTGTTACCTGGAAGGTACCAGAAAGGGTAGTCACATTGTGAGGCAGTGGGCAAGGGATGGACCATTTCTTGACCACAATCTGGAGAGGAGACAACACAACATGTCAGCAACAAAAAAGATGAAAAATGTATGATTTTGAAGGGGTGTGTTAAAGCTCACCACAACTGCAAAGTACAGCATGAAGAAAAAGGCAATACTACTGGTATAGCCCAGGAAGCCTGGAGGGGTTAGAGACAGATCTGGTGAGAATCAACAATTCAAACATTCAGTCAGAGCAGCAGATTAGGATGCTACTTGATCTACCTACTTACCGATTTTAGGCAATATTGACAGAGGTAGAACAACACATAGTGTGACTAGGATCAGAAGCAACCTGCCATCTTCATACCAGGGATTTCTGGAAAACAAGTGGACATGAATTATTAAAAAGGCCAAAGCTGAATCAAGCTGCATTTCCCATCATCTCCCTGGTCCTGCAGTGCATGTCATGGATAGCAGAGATGAATCTTCAACACCTTAAAAAAGGGCCGTCTCTGGAAATTTGTCTCCATTTTGTGCTCAAATACAGAGCGACAGATTCATCATGTGGTACGAATTAAGGGCTTTAGCTCTCGCAAACCATAACAATTATGTAATTCACATGCAAACGTTGTGTCGCTCCGTCATTTGAGACCACATTTCACTTGCCGGGTTTTTGGAGAGGGGGAATAATATTTTCCTTTGCTGAGGGATAGCCTTGGCGGTTTATTCGGGATTGGGGAGCTTGTGGAGAAGGAAGGGAGGGGG